CCAGCCTCCGTAATTCCTGCCCCGTAATCCGAGCCCGCTGGAAGCGCTTTGGCAGAGAGAGGCGAGTACCGGAGTCTGCGCGGGGAGGCTGGGGAGGCCGTGGCACACGAGCAAAGGGGATGCTCCCCGAAGAGCTGCCAGCCTTTCCCTGGAGCAGGCCGCTGTCATTCCTGTGGGATGCTGCTCTGATTTACCATGGGATGGGGCTCTGGTCTGCGGCTCTTTTGGAACTGCGTTGCTCTGCTGACCTGCCTGCTCCCTCCGTGCCCCTGAAGCACTGCGGCCGCGGCCCAAAACGGCCCGTCTGGCCTCAAAATACAGCGGGGTCGCTCGGGGCTTGGCTTGCATCGGAGCCACGGGGCTCTGCAACTTGCTTTTCGGGCTTGGAATAGCCTGGGTGACCTGCCTGAGAGGGTTTCAGACATCGTGGCTGCTCTTGCCAAGGGCAGAAGTGGCGTTTCCCGCACCAGTGGAAGCAGCAGGAGCTGTTTTTTTGGTTATTTTTCTAGGGTCCCTGTTGGACTTCCCAGCGCTTCTGCGATTGTATTTACAACACTAATCCCACGGCTGTGAGCGCTTCCATCATAGCTCCTTGCTATTTACACTGGAATAGGTGCAACGTAGGATTCCCCCGAGGAAAAGCAGGTGTCTGCTTCACACAGATACTTCATAAAAAAGGCCCTCAGGCCCCATCAGGTGCCATGAAGGTGAGGCCCGTGTTGAGTGATGTTGTAGCAGTGCTCGGAAGGTGAAAAGAGAGGCAAAACGAACACGAGGAGCAGAGCACCTTGCTTAAATACAGCCTGGTGTGCAGGGAGATGCATTCCCACACGGCAGCGCCTTGGTCTGCGTCGAAGGCCGCTCACAGAGCAGCAAAAGCCTTTAAATTAAGCCCCAAATCCCGCCTTTAAAGAGTTAATAACCGCCTAGCAGACACTGCAGCAGATGGGGAGAAAATTGTCGCTGGAGTCTGGTGATTGGTTGTTGTAGGCAGGGTTTGTCAAGCCCAACCATTACAATGGCTTGTGAAACTGTGGTATGTTGCGGGCCCGTGTTCAAAATCGTCCTTAACTCGTTCCGCTCCTGCCCTTCCTGCCCGCGGCCTCTCCTGGCTCCGCTCTGCCCTGCGTGGACGGGGATTTAATGGAGGGAGGTGCTGCGTAGCATCTCCCTGGGTAAAAATGCTGCTGTGCAAACACAGAACCGTCTCCCTGCAGGAATTTTTATGCGGTCGTCAGAGGAACGCCTTCTGGAAAATAAAAATAAACAAATAAAAGCAGTCTAGCTGTGCGCAGGGGAGTGTTGGCGGAGGAGCGTTATTCTTAAGCAGAGGGATTTTTGCCTTCCTGGAGGGGAGAAGCAAAATAACAGCAAAAACTTTCCTGCTGTAGTAGAAGGGAGAGGGCTCAGCAACGGCGTGGCCTTAGATATATAGGGTGTGCGGGGATCGCAGAGCTGCTGCTCCCGACCCCAAGCGCACGCGGGGACAAAACCAGGGGAGCAGGTGAAGAGCAAGTGCCTTCCCCCGCGGCCCCGCGTGAC